TGGCAGAGGAGTATGAAGGAGATCACGAGACGCTTGGGTGCTGTCGGTGCTACTCGCCTTCCAGGATGGGGACCGCGTGATCCTCACTGTGCCTGGTTGGAGACACTACAGGATATGGCTGCCAACCGATGTCAGTGGCGTTCTTGTTGTCAGTTTCTATCCAGATTGCCTGAGTGAATGTCTGGAGGTGTAGGCACCTCGGAATGATTGTGTTAAGCTAGCACTAAGTCCCTCCCCGTCCACCCTTATTCTTTTCTTTACAATTAGGCTTCCAAATCATGGTTGTACGGCATTGAAGCATCGGTGTTGAACACTGATGTCATGCTGTCGATGATGATATGACAGATGATGTTGATGGTGATTATTATTATTATTATTATTATTATTATTATTATGAGTTAAACAACTTAGTCAAGGTAAAACATTACGGCTGATAACCTCTCTTCTGTGACGTTGGTAGGAGCTCGTCTGGCTTTGCGGCCCGATAGCAACTCAAGACAGACATCATCACCTCAGAAACTGAGAGTTCAATCTCACACACCACGGCTCCACTTAGTGGGGGCCAAGCAAACATGAGTATATATGGGCAGATGGTCAACTAAACTATTTTGGAGAATACTCAGCCCAGTGATCCGGGCGCTGTTTCGTATCACTTTAAATTTCGAGCAGTACTTTTGATAACCTCATCAACCATCAGGCCCACTGGATCCCAGCCTGTATGAAGTGGAATAGTTTCCGAACATACTCAGTTGCAGCAGCTTCCTCTAGTTCCAGAGCCTTTTGATTCTACCTGGTTTCCCCACCCAAACGTAGGTTGCGTTTGAGCCGACGTCTGACAAACCTTCTGGCTGGATTATGCTCAGCATCATTAAGGGTACAACTACAATCGGGTATTGATAGTGAGCGTTCTGAGATCGAGCGCTTAGTAAGTGGGCGCTAAGACACATCACCGGCCAAGTTCCTTGCCAAACATGTGGTGGTGCTCATATCATCCCAGTTGCAGCCGACGTCTCTCGAAAATGCGGCTTTTAGGATACCACACTGGCTACTTTGGTTAGATTGTTTGAAATATGGGTCAGAGACAGGAACAGCGAAACAGGTTATTTGTTGGGTTTGCCTGGGGAATGTCGAAGATTTACACACCGAAATTTGAATCGGTGTGACTACTCCGGAAAGATCGACAGTCAAGAATAGAGCATCACCACTGGCTCGGTGGTTGTTTATCAGTAGATGGACGTTGTGTAACGGCGTCTACTACGTCTGAACACTGAACTATTAGGAAACGATTGATGTTAAAGTTGTTGTTAAAGTAGGGCTCGATTCCTGGCTATTTCGTTGTATCTACAGTGGGCTGGATGCAGTGAATCGACAGCTCCAATCGGGTGATAACAACTGCCAATAAATAAACCCGAGTAGAAAGCTGGGTAATCTTCGAAAACCTAAAGAAGACAATTACCTACCCGATCGGATAAGATAATTAGATGCCACGGGGACAATGGTTCAAAGGCCACCGCATAGAGGAATCAGATGAAATGAACATATCACATGGGTGGTTGTCCCTATCGAACCAGAACAAAATTCACTGATGGCACGGGAAAGCGAAGAAACTATACTTGATCATAAAAAACCAGACCCACAGTTTATGAACAAACCAAAATAAAGCACTCTGTGCCATTTTGAAGGCCATGAATTCAATATCCTCGGTGACGTTAAGCTAGCTACCCGTTGCCACAAAGATGGCACAGAAATGTGAACACCGCTGGTGGAGCACTGAGAAAAGTCATTGCTATTAAAACGAATGTATTCACTGGAAACAACTCTTATGAATACGGGTAGCTGGAATCCGAGGCTAACGGGCTCGCTATCGGCGGATGCCAGTGCATAGTTGGCACGCCACAATCTGATACTCGTAACCGAATGGGACGCATTTATTTTGCGCCAAAGTAGGCCCCACAATGAAGACTGACGGATCTGACGAGCGACACAGGCCTGGTTAGTCAAGTAGACAAGAGAAGTGTTGAGAGATGACGCATCTCATTGCTACAGAATGGGCGGGCCGTTCGGATACGCTATCGTCCCGTTAAGCATATGACTATAAGGCCCTGCATGACATCCGGACATACATAAGTTAGTAAGGTCGGCCTTGTGGGCCGGAAAACAAAAACCTAATCGAATGTATGGGTGACAAAACAGGCGTTCAACTCTATTCATGGTCATAGAGACCGAATCCGACTTAGAGAGAATACTCCACACTAGAGAACGGTCTTATGGATGTTCTTAATCTAAAGAGGAGCGAATGTACTTACTTGTAGTTGTTGTCGTTGGAGTTGCTGCATTTGTGCCAAAGCTGCCGCGTTAGCAGCCTGATACTGAGCCTGTTGGTTTAGTGCTTGAAAATGTGCTGCTTGAGCATACTGTTGTTGCTGTGAATGGGCCGGTTGCGTTTGGTATTGGCCATTATATTGCATAAGCAGCTGTTGTTGCTGTTGGGGGCTTGCGCCGAAAGGTACCATGGTTGGAAGCTGATTATGTAGCTTTTGCTGGAACTGAGCATTCGCACCCAACATTGGCATTCGGTTTAAGCCGTTAGCTGCCATATCTGGTCGCATCTGATTAAAATTGCCCATGACCATAGAATTCCTAGGTCGGGGAGGGGGAGGCGCCTTTCGGGTAAGCTTTGGCAGAGTTCTTTCTTCCGGAGGTTTCTCCGCATAGTCTATGGCTTCGGAGACGACGAATTCGATAACGTCATCTAAGTGGGATAGGGCTTCTTCGCCACTTTGAAAGTGTGATTGTTCTGTATGAGCTGGAAAATAAGGGGTCGTGCAATTAGAAAAGGGAAAAAGATGCCATAAGTCAAAACTATGATAGGATTTTTTCATTAGTCCGAAATAATGTCTTTTTGGATTGAAATACCTGACAGCACGCAAACCCAGAAGCACTTCAGATCACAGTCAGCTAGAGAGTGGATGTCAAACATATTCCGGACCAGCTATCGACGACAGATTAGGAAGTGTAACCAAACTAGTGTCAACACTAATACTACTTTTTAACCGTATAAAACTAGGCATTTAGGTAGGATTGAACTTGATGCAAAGAAGCCCCCCTCCCCTTTAAAAGTACGAGTAGGGAATAGACAACACATTACAGAATGCGATTAGGCTTTCTCCATTGAGCACATACCGCTTTCTTGGAGCCCCGTTTGCGTGGAAAAAGGTAACCTAACCGAGGACTGGAGAATTGTCATATAAAAGAGCGGTGGCACCGCCTTAAAACTACAGTACAACCATAAACAGAGCCAACTAACAAGCTCAATAATGGTTTATCTGTAGCACCCTTTCGGTGCCTAGCTACTATGTCAACGGAAGGAGGCAGGAGGGCCGGGATACTGTCAGGTTGACCAAGCCTAGACAAGAGCAGTCGAGATGCAGAGGTCGGATTCGAACCACGCACCTTCAGGTCCGTAATCTAGCGCCTTAACCACTGAGCTACCTCAGACACGCGTGTCCAGCCTTTTTATAGTGCCAACAGGCTCCGTAATGGCACTATAGGAAAGTCGGACACAAACGTCCTTAAGTGAGTGGTCTGCACTCGCACTTTAAATAAAGGGCTTCTATAGAAGGATACAAATAACGCTACACGTGGAGTGATGTTGTAACAAAGCACCAACGATTTGTAGTCCAGTACGTTTGTATACGACAATTTTTTACAGGAGAAACCTTTCGAAAGGAAGTGTCCCAGCTTGTGAGATAACTTTAGAGTGAGAGGATTTTTCCTCTGTAATCTTTCCCCGAGGAAACACACCTTTCGGAACCGAAAAGACGAGACAACGTCTGGGTCCTCCAATGGCTAATTTGGTACCCGCATCCCTCCTACGATGGGATAGATCACAATGAAAATGCACATCTGCTGACCCGGATTTGTTGGGCTATCTTTTTCAGAAATTCACTTCATGAGCACAGTTGATGTACCTATACAACCCAGTAGCGACCTCTTCTTGAATTGGTTGGACGTATCCGATACTCTAGCATTGTGTATGGAAACAGCACCACTTACTTTGGTATTTTGTAGTTGAAGCACCAACTTAAGGTAGTAGTGAGCTCGAGATAGCTTGGTGGTTAAGATCCGAACTTACTAATCGGAAGGTCTGGGTTCACACCCAACCTCTGCACCTCGACTACTCTTGTCTAGGCTTGGGAATCTGACAGTACCTCAACCCTCGTGTTTCCTTCGGGTTGCGCGGCAGCTATGCGGGAAAACGGTGCTAGAGCTAAGGGATTATATTTTATTAGTGCAACTGGAAAACGGCGTAAGACAACGCACAACAGTAGTGATCCTTGTTATCCTTGGTATTATATAATACGTCTTTGTGATGACTCAAGGTGTATAGCAGGCCTTATCTATGTTTAAATAGATGACATATAGTGACATATATAGCAGGATTGACGATCACCCTACTGCGCTGGTGTCAATTGCGGACATGCAAGTGTTGAGTACCTGGAGTATTCGCTTCGAACGGAACCAGAAATCCCAACTAATCTTCACGATACCTGCTAAAAAGTCTCGGACACATAGGGGATTTCAGTACTCGTGTTTGAAGCATGTAGGACGTTTATTGGGTAAGATTTTACGAGGATACAATCCTGTCGTGCAAACATCCTAGGATCCCATGGGACGGAGGATTGTACCATATACATTGGCGCATTAGGACTCGTGAAATATATGCTCCTGAAGAATCCCACCAGGAGTGGAGGAGAAAGGTTTTCCTAATAATGGAAGCGTACAACTCCTGGATGTGCGAGAGGTATCAGAATAGAACAGATAACATTTACATACGTTTGATATCTGTGCGGCGGAACACGAATCGCCCACTCAGTGCCGAATGTTCACCTTTCCGTGTTTGTGTCACCAACCAAAAACATGCAAAACCAAGAGTGCACCGTGGCAAAAGCGGATGCCCTAGTCTCTTTAAGGCTAGTGACATGAAGTGCTTACTAGCTACACCGGCATTGTATCACCGGGTCGTTCGTCCCTCAAAGCAGCCAACCTATGTCAGCGGCGTTCTTGTTGTCAGTTTCTATCCAGATTGCCTGGGTGCTGAGATGGCTCAAGCGGTTAGAGCGCGAATTTACTGACCGGAAGAACCGCGGTTCGAACCCCTCTGTCTCTCAACTTTCTCTGACTAGGCTTGGGCAACCTGGCAGTATCCCAACCCCCGTGCTTCCCTCGGGTAGCATGGCAGCTAGGAAGGGTGTTACAGCTGAAGGATCTCTCTCTGATCTGTCATCCCAGATTGCCTGGATGAGTGTCTGGAGGCGCAGTCACCTCAAAATGACTGTAGTAAGCTAGCACTAACTCCCTTCCTCATTCAACTTTATTCTTTTCTTGATCATAGGCCTTCAAATAAATTATAGTGGGAAGACAGTGAAGCATCGGTGTTGAACACCGATGTCAGGCTCTCGATGATAATGAATCGACAGCAATATTAGTGACTGTCATAACATCTCTCGATAATTCATGAGTGTTACAGGTGAACAATCATTACTATTACTGTCAACATATTTGCAGCCCATATGTGAATCAGTCGAATCTCAGTTGGCAGTCTCACAGTCGGCGTGGTCCGGAAAACGCATATTAAAATCCGGTTTGACGTTGTCTGCGTTCAGCTTACGGAAATTTGTGCTACTTACGTCAGATCACTCTATATGCAAGTTAAACAAACCGCGCCACATGATCAAGCAAACTGGTGGCCTTCATGTAAATAACAGCCGCGACAAGGTGCTGATGACGGCTCTGTACAGGTACTGATCCAGCATGTTTTCGCTTACCCGCCCTGCTGTATGCAGCAAGTAAGGCGAATCGGCTGACGGGACCATGCGACGGCCCACTTAGCATGAGAGCATGGTTAGTTGCAAATATCATGGTTGGCACAACCATGCTCTGCACAGGAAAGACGAATAAACCCAAGAAAGTCTTAATTTCCCTTAGTCACTTAAACTTCCCAGGTTGTACACACTGTCTGGTCGGCTAAAAATTGTTCACGAAACACCGCCTCGATCTCAACATGATACCAGAGGGGCAAGGTGATGCTGGGTAGTCGGCAAGAGAAGTAGGAAAAAATACAAACGGCAAACTGCGCGCTCCCTTGGACTAGCACCCAGAGGAATGTCTCCGGACGTGGAGACTAGAAGACCGCAAGACGTCGTTAAGTTAGTTCCAAGCGGGTATCTAAATTCCGAAAGATGACTTTATTTATAAGCAGCACCACATCAGACAACGATGGGATGTTTCGACGTGTTAGTATAGGCCTCTGCTAAACTTGCCCGAACATTTATTTACTCAGTTGACACATCTACAGCATGCGAGACGCTAATGGCATCCAAAAATGAGACCTCCATGGATTGTGTTTGAAAAAAACACCGAGGGGAGGTAGCTTTGGTTGTATAGATGGCTATTCTGTTGGCGTGCTTGCACCAAATGTTTTTATGCAGGTTTTGTAGCTACCATGAATATTGTTTGCGAAGAACTACAGTCCTGAACCGCAAGATACCCACCCATCCAGTCCACAGAAGTTCCAAAGTTAAGCACACGTGCAGCTGAATAAAAGCATCCGAGTACATACGAACACAAGTCATGTGAACTATAGATAAGCGAATGTCAGCCAGGAAATATAGTTACTAGACCCAAGCCCTGCGTCCCCAGATTGTGTTCGAGGGGAAGAGTAACTATCAGTAATAATAAAACAAATAATCAGTGATCGATGGATTTTCAGCAACCTTATGAGTAGTACATTACAAATCAGTTATTCTGTTTTCTGGGTGTGTTGCGCGATACATTATTTTCAGTCATGGGCCCGTTCGTTTCGGCAAGGTTACACCCTCGAAGGGTGGTGGAGGCATCTAAGCCACTCTCACCCTTCAATAATTGTGCTGAATGTCACCCAAAAAATAAGATCCAGTCAAACGAATCTCCATGAACTTACTGCGTCTATGTATACTTCGATTGCTTTAAGGGATAACAGCTGGCCGCGAGTGTCACAGTGGAAACCGACCACGGCTTAATTCGACGTATCACACTGCTCTTCTTGGATCTACGCCTTGTCTTGTAGATGCGCATCAGAAATTGTGGTGTTTCCGACATGGAAATCATTTGTAAGTCGTCATACTTATACTAACATTGTAATCAACTCTGTATCCAATCAACGTACCAACTATACGCCATGTATAATTGGTACGTTATCGAACGTCCATGATTTCATTCTCCTTGTGAATCTAAGATTCACCGAACCATCGCTGGTTTGCAATATCCCACACTGACAAACTCCTTGGTTACATTGGAACCGTTTGCCATTCGCAGGATTGACCATTCTGTGTACTTTGTGACCTGTCGAGTTGAGGACAGTGTTGATTTCTCTTATCAATATGGCCGCCTCCTCTACCTAAAAAACTGACCACGCGGTGGTTGCTCTCAAAATCAAGTCTTCAAAGCTTAAGGGGACAGAACGTAGTTTGGGCCTCGAATACCAAGCAGGCGCCACGCAAAAAAACCGCAGGTTAGTTTAGGCCTGCAAAAATGAGCTCATGAAAACGGGAATATCGTGCTTATGTCGAACCGATGATTTATTCCAATTTTAGGCCCTGATGTGACGTTCCCACGACACCGGTCGATGGTGCTCAATTCACTTGTAAGGCTTCTGGTGCTAGGCGCGCTAATTGGTGGAGGTCTGACGAATGTCTTATTGTCCTGATTGCTGAAGTGTGACACACAGGCGACGCCTTGTATCTTGAAAGCAGATATATTGCCAGACACCACGACATTGAGGCAAAGCTGCAAGGCCAATGGCTTTGATTGAGGACCCAAGTGGCTCTTCTCTCTAGGTTGGAAAGCTCTGGGGGTGTGGGGACACTTCTAAAAC